CTGGCAGGTGACTTTCAGACCCGTCTTGGCGTCCATAATCCCGGTGACTCCAGCCTCCTGTCCTGTACTCACCTCGGGTCTTGTGTGCACTTCCACGCATAATATCAAAAAGCAAAAAGAGTCATACAATTGGTGTTTGTTCGAAAGGTCATGTGTTGTGTGATTTCATTTATGTAATATGCCCAAAACATAAAGCCTTAGAGACAGAGAGCAGACTGGTGGTTGCAGGGCCTGGGGGAGGTGGGAACAGGGAGGGCTGCCGATGAGAACAAGATTTCTCTTGGGGGCGATGGAATATTCTGGAATTACATAGTGGAGACAGTTGCACAATCTTGTGCATATCCCCAAACCCGCTGGAGCTGGAAGGTAGACTTTATTTTTAGTTTTTTTGAGATTTTTTTAGATACTTTTTAAAGTTTATTTATTTTGGAGAGAGAGAGAGAGAGAGAATGTGCAGGGGAGGGGCAGAGAGGGAGGCAGACAGGATCTCTGTGCTGACAGCGCAGAGCTTGATGTGAGGCTTGAACTCACAAACTGTGAGATCATGACCTGAGCAGAAATCAAGAGCCTGGCACTGAACCCAGGCGCCCGTGGACTGTAGACTTTAAAATGGCAAATTTTGTGGTATGTGAATTACATCGATTAATAATCTGATGCTTTTTCATCGTAGAGGTGTTTAAAAATAAAATAAAAGAAGAAATTTTAAATTACCTTTATAATTCTGGCTATGCAACAGTGACATTTGTGTGTGTGTGTGTGTGTGTGTGGTAGTTTTTGCAATTGTTTTGTTGGTTTTGGCCTGTGTTTGTTTTGTGTTTTTCCTCTGGGGTGTTTCCAACCCTTTTTGGGGGCCGGGAGAGATTCCGTTGGCATCTGCTGCAACACTGGACCCACCTGTCTCCTTTCCCCAAGTTCATATTTGCACCTGTTCCATTTGGCTTTTAAATTTTAGGACGTGCAGCATCTTGAGTGAGGACGACCATTCTGTGTCCGACTTCATGCTCTGTAGGGGAATGACAGTTTCTAATATGAGGCTATCAGTGGGGTCCTCCTTTCTCAGGAAGCAACAACGGGGCCCCGTTCTGTGGAAACTTAGGGTGTCAGCTCTAAGGACCACGGTAATGGGCCATATTCTGCCTTTATTCACATATGTGACCCTTGCTGTCATTTTTTATTTAAAAAATTTTTTAAAATGTTTATTTATTTTTGAGAGACACACAGTGTGTGAGTGGGGGAAGGGGAGAGAGAGAGGGAGACACAGAATCCGAAGCACGCTCCGGGCTCCGAGCTGTCAGCACAGAGCCCCACGCGGGGCTCGAACTCACTCACCGCGAGATCATGACCCGAACCGAAGTCGGATGCTTAGCCGACTGAGCCACCCAGGCGCCCCTACTAAATTATTTTTTAAGGCAAAGCTTGAGGCCGAAAGAGATGAAAAGTCAAGTCGCAGCCTCCGTGCTGACCATCACAACCTGCTCAAACAGAGTCTTAGCATTTCTGCGGTGAACAGCGACTTTACAGGTCTGGGTGGGTGGGTGGGTGAGGTTGACCCGAGAGTCAGCAGAAGCATCGGGGCCGCCTCCGGCTCCTTCGCACGGGACACCGGGACTCAGACGCGCCGGGAAACCTTGTGCCGCAAAACAGAAAGCTACCTTGGAAGAGCTGGGGAATCTGTTCCGCGGTAGAATTGGGCTAATAGTGCTTATTTTTCTTCAGGGTGTATATTTATTTGACTGTTTCACACCATTTGTCAATTTCTAAGCAGTTAATAATTTTTATGCCTCTTTCAGATGTGTGTATATAGTACAAGTGTGTTTGATTTCCTGTGGTCTCTCTGCATTTACACAGCGCTGAGTGATGGCATGTATAACATGCCAATTGAAAATTTCCAACCCAACTCAAGTTTAATTCTTCAGCACACATCCGTGGACTGCCTTGCCCGGTTTCTGCCTGTGTCTGTGCTGCCGGGGCCCCGGATTCTGTCTAGGTTCCAATGCTGGGATGGCCTACCGCTGTTTACAGTCCCCTGGGGAACGTTGAGCTATATGGGGAATTGGAGAATAAGGACGCGTGATCGATGGGGGACATTTTACGGAAGCCGGCATGGAGCGTGGCGTCTGTTGTGTGGTTGAGTTTGGACCAGAAGTGATAGAAAGAGGGGACCTTCCTTAACTGGGTGTGAGAAGCCCCGGCCCGGGCAGAAACACCCTCCCGCTGGCCACATGGGTGCTGCGGCTCAACGCCAAGGGCGCTGAAGGCTGACGTGTTCCCTGGCGCATCCTGGGGTTTCGGACCTGGCGGTGCAGACAGGTTTAGCTTAGAGACGCCGGTGCCCTCATGAATCAGCTGGCCAGTTGGTGTTTATTCAGCGAAAGAATTTGAAGACTCGTGCGTGAAAACCACTCTGTCTGAAAACTGCATGTACCCTGTTCGCAGGCCCCAGCTTCCTCGAGCAAGGCTTCTCATCGCAAGAGCGGCCTCGAGTGTCTGGGTGCTTTGTTGGTTCCTGTGTCTCGTGTAAGAGAGGCAAGCGGGGTGACCCGGTTTGTAACTGAGTTATAAACCGTCTTCCGGAGACTTTCGAAGAAATTGTGATAAATGCACATAACCTAAAAGTTTGCCGTGTTAGCCATTTTTTTTAATGGGAAACATTGTCAAATTGGTTTCCATACAGCACCCAGGGCTCCTCCCGACAGGTGCCCTCCTCATGCCCATCACCCACTTTCCGCCCCCCCCCCCCC